ACTGGCGAGATGGTGAGATGAGACCCTATACACACACACACCCCATCGATAGGATGGGCAAGATCGAGATGAAACTTCTACTAAAACGAGGAAATATACATCGTTACATTTTGCTTTGCTTTTTCTTTTGATCCATGTGACGTGCGGCCCAGAACACCGATCACAACAATCTATCCCCATTACGATGAGCCTTAAGAAGCTTACCCGGGCCTCTCAACCCGAGCAAGCAACTTGCCGGTTTCATTGTGCGTGCGCCCATGTAAGATTCTCTCCTAATCTCTCTCTCTCTTCTCACTCTCTCTCTCTTCCTGATCGAATCATGAACGTCTCATATACTCACATTCCATCGATAGGACGAGCAAAAACGGAATGAATCTTCCGCTGAAACGTGGAAATATACACTCTTATTTCTTGATTTGCTCATTCTATCGAATCGAGTAGCGTGTGGCGTCGCACGGCATGGAGACTTATCTATCGGCTAAGGTCGGGGACTTATCGTCTCTCTCTCTCTTCCACACTCTCATAGTGCAACAAGTACGTAGTAACCCGATCTTGTATCGCTCAACCTTCCCTTCTCTCCTCTCTCTTGCTCCTCCTCTCTCTCTCTCTCTCTCCTCTCTCTCTCCCTTCATCCTGTTGCACACCATAAATGTGCAGACCAGAACAAGAATCGACCTCTCAATACAAGTACAAGATGGTGTAGAGGAAGACTTAGATACCAATGATCCGAACGATCGATTTCGCAACGCAGCCCCTACATCATCATCGCCACATGGTGTGAAGGGGCCTAGCGCTTATTCAAGAAGAATGCGCTGGTCCCGTTATGCACAGACAAAGAGGAGGGGGTCAGACGAAGGAGAGGGGATTAGACGAAGAAGAGGGGAAAGATGGGGATGTCGTCAGCGCCAAGTCTTCGGTACCGGTCACAAGTAATCCCCCGTCCAGCGTCCCAATCCAATGTCGAGTCTGAATCCAAATGTCATCAAGTYTCAAAGTCCCAAATCTYATTCTCTCTCCTTCATACCTCTTTTTCTTTCCTTCTCACACACTCACACACTCGAACACACAAACACATACACACGCACACACACATAATCTGATAGCAGGTTCCATAGATGAGTGGGGGGGGTGAGACCCTATTCACTCTCCATCTCCCGTTGATGGTAGTGACCGATAGTAGGGGCGAGATCGTCGCTCATTCACTCGCATATACATATACGTAGTAACAACAGTAGTAGTAGTAGTAGTAGTAGTAGTAGTAATAGAAGTAGTAGAGATAGTAGTAGTAGTGATAGTAGAAGTAGAGATACCAAAGATCGCGAGACTTACCTGTCTTTGCTCTTTCCTTTCCCGTCGCCGAAGTTGTCGTTGTCGTCGGATGTTTTCCTGCTCCGTCATGCTTCAGTACGCCAAGGTGATAGCTCGACAACCACGAGCTCGCTGATTAACGAAGTCCGGTGGTTGACGAGGTCGCTGGCAATGTCATGGCCAGGTGAGCATCCTTTCTTCTTCGATCCTCCCCCCCCTTTCTCTCCTTCCTTCTTTCTCCTCTCCTCCTTCTTCCTTCTTCCTTCTTTCTTTTTCTCCTTCTTCCTCCTCTCCTTCTTCTTCTCTTACACGGTCTCCCGTTTCCGGATCAGGGGTGCGTTTTCTGTGAACGCGGACACTCAAGCAATGCCGCAATAAGCAGCARCGATTTTTCCCAAAAACGGCGGGATGACGGCACCGAATGCTGAGAATCAGCGATGGTACTTCCGCCTCTTTCTGTCTCCTTTCACTTCCCCTTCTCCTTCTTCTCGTGCTCTCCTTCTTTCACGTGAATCCCCGCTCTCCAGCTTACTCGTGATATCTCCCTCCTGGCCCAAGTTGCTTTTCTTCTCTTACTCCTCTCCCCTTTCTCCTAGTTCGTTGTCCCCCGAGTTGGACTTCCGCGGCGTCGCGCCGTAGTCCTTAGCGGCACCTCGTCTGGGATCTCTGCTAACTCCCTTGACTGTATCTAMCGTGTTTTCCTGGGGTAGATTCATCAAAGTGATGTKGYGAGAGGTTTCCGACCACGGGGCYTAAAAACCAACAACAAATCTAACTAATAACAATACAGAAAAAGAAAAAGCAAAAGAGAGGATCTAACTACTATTTACCCCGTTGTGCCAACTGTCACAACGGGTTACAACTTTATCTTGTCCCAAGCTCGAGGTCATAGGTTCGAATCCCGCCTCTTTGTGGGTGGGCGGAAAAGGTAAGTCCCGCCCCCTACAGCTAGCAAAAGGAGCTAGCCCCGAGGCAGGTCTGACTCGATCCCGAGATCCTCTGCGTATCAGTTATGTGCCTGTACCTACTGGGCTAGCTCCTAGTTCGGTTCTACTAAGAGTTAATCTGCCGTAAGTAGAGTACAGGGCCCAGTTCGATCAGTACTTAGGGTCTGCAGCCTACCGTAGGGGAAACTCAGGCCACCGTTTAGCCACTGCGGCCTGCTACAACAGGTTAGACCCCTCTTCCCTAGTTGCCCTGGCCTCATGGCCGGGGCTTTTACTAATTCCTACCTATTTTTATCCTACGGGGAGTGGTTTCCCGCCTCGCTTTTTTCTGATACACTCGACGTCCGCGGACTTGAGCCGAAACAGTCGTACTCCCTCAGTCGTCAACCGATTGAGAAACAACCGTCGTTGCGTCTGCGCGACTCTTTTTCGTTTTGACTAACCTTCCGACCTTGTGGTCGGAGGCTTTATTTACTAATCGTTTTGCAGTCTCTGCGCGTGCCGGAATGACGCGCATGGTCATTTTATCTACTAACCTCCGTCATCTTTGCACGCTCTGCGAGCATTCGAAATTTTTAACCCCTGACTCCTGTCCGCTTGTGCCGTGTTTTGACCCTTGCGGTTTCTAACTTTCGTGACCATAATGGTCGAGGGTTTTACCCCAGTTTCTGTTTTTAGCCAACCCCATTCTAACAGTTGGTGTCGACATTGTGTCGACTGTAAAATCATGACTGGATACCCTTGTAAGGGTATCAACTCCGACAGTCTTCCCAGACCCCATTAAGCGACGTCCGTGTCGTTGGGGAATTTAAATGCAAACAAAGGCCTTCTGGCGCGACAAGTTGTCAAAATTCGATTTCCTCGACGAAGTTGTCGCTTGAAGACCCTCACTATCTCCCTTGGCGCGTCCATACTGCCAGTATTTTAACCTGGGTTTCCCACGTACCAACAATTGCAATACCAAAGAAATATTGTTCCATATGACTCAAAGTGGGGATACGGGATTTGTACTACAGTTACAGAGGTCACCAAGGAAGATAATGATAGCCTCTCCCCTCAACTTTAGACTTTATTGTCAGGACCTCGTTGGGTGTCCGAGGAGTTAGGAACCATAAATGAATCCTACCCTTAGGACGAGGGTCTCAACCTTAGTCAATTTTTACCGTCCCACCCGAAGTCTAATGAGAGGGGATCGACAACCTTGGTCTCAACCCACCACAGTCGGTTGATCGGGCCTGATATGTGGCCCACCATGTTTGTTAATCTAATGGTGGTACTTGTATTGGTTACGCAACACAGGATGATTACCTCCTATCAAATATCTAGACCTGACTCTCGATCCCCCCGATATCTACCCGAACTTGATAGGATCATTAGGGAAACCTTCCCCTCAAGTTTAGTCTCAGGCCGTAATCGGAAGGCCCGCTGCCTGGTTATACTTGGTCAGCAGCCCACGCTGGGAGTTACGTCCCAACGATGCCAATTTTCCACCATAGGCTTGGTAATTTTAAGTCCCTCAGACTGACCTCCATAAGTGGATGAACGATGATTATTTCAAAAATACACATATAAAATTCAAATTTGACCAGATAAAATTCATCTCCCCTCGTCAGTTGTCCTTGAATGGGTGAACAAACCCATTGAATATATATATATATATATATATATATATATATATATATATATATATATATATATATATATGAAAGAGACAATATCAATAAGAATGATTCAACATGATTGAAAAACTTGTCTCTGATCGAGGGGCATCGTCAGAGTCATTTAGGGGCCGTGCCTACCAGACCTCGATCACAGGTTGGACAGGCACACGTCTCGGGGATCTTTTTCCAGAAAGTCAACCAAAATATCTATAAAGAAAGTATAAAGCATGTGTTTGACCCCTTGTCTTGTCAGAAGACAAAAAAAACATCCATTTCATTCACAACATACATTTCCCTGATTCAAAGGGTTTCTCATATGCAAAAGTAAATCTTGACTTTTCCATGCCCTTTTTCAGGGTCCGTTTAAAAAATAACCACATAAACAAGGCATACAAATGACCTATCATAGATGCAGAATAACTTTCAACTCTGCAAATCTCATTTCATCTTGTCACTCTTGAACACTTAGACGCTTTTCTAAGCATCCTAGTTCAAGATCCGACAACATAGACTGCATACATATCCAAAATACACATTTCATCAACCAAACCCAAACACCGGATCAACTCAAATGTGAAAGTACAAAGTGTTCAGGTTTTCTATAGGTATACCTCGCAAATAACTTAGGATAGAGAAGCTCAACTGAATATAAAAGTATATGTCAAAAATTGATTCAGACTGATGCACAGATCCTTAAGACAGTAGAATGAATTATATGTTTAACCTACCCTCAACTACTAGAGTTCAAAATGCCGAGTCAAGATAATATACACGATCCCCTAATATGGCAATTGTGAAAGATGCATGTCCGACAAAAGACACTCCATCAGATGCTCGCAAAAAGAAAGAATATCAACTCACCATACCGCCTCCTTCACCCTCAACCCCTAATGTACAATGTCAAAACTTCCTTACTCTAATCTTCTAATGTGAACCCTAGTTGCTCATAAAACTGGACCCTGAACCCTCTTTTGATTTTCTTAATCAGATTTTCCTTCTTATCGATGAGCCTGTTGTTCTCATCGAGGACAACTAACCCTTTTTCCCTATCTATCTTGAACTCAGAACAATCATCTCTCCTGTGGATTCCCTTCATGCAATACCAACATAATTTTTTCTCCTATTCCTTTGTCCTCTTTGCAGATGATGGGATACCCGGTGATGCTGCCCCAATCAATGTCTCAAGGTAGGATCTCTTCCTATCCTGTCCCACTCTGCAATCAGTTAGGGATGTTTCCCCAACATCCTTTTCAGACAAGGTGACAACTCTTACCTCTAATCCCTTGTCCTGTCTGTTAATCTCAAGTCTCTTCTCTACTTTCTCTATTCTCAGGTTTTTCCTCATGTCCTCATTTTTCTGAATATCCTTCACTCCAACCTTCGTCTGAATATCCTCTGTTGGCTTTTCCAAGGCTTCTTCCACCTTCTCCCCCTTCTTATTTTCCAGCTTCTTTTTGCTTTCTTCAATTGCCTTTCCTTGTTCATTGACCTTTGTCTCCAATTTTTCAATTTCTTTTTCCAACTTTTCTTTCTCCATCCTTTCTGTCTCTGTCTCTTTACTCTTATTTTCAAGAGCAATGCTCAGTGCCTCCACCTTCAATTCCAGCTTTCCTCGTTCAATCCTTGCCTTTTCCATTTCTGTCTTCAAACTTTCCATCTTTTTTTTCACCTTTGCCCACTGCAGGTCCCTTTTTTCTTCTTTTGCCCTCAACCTTTGAATTTCCTTCAGGATTTCAGAGACATGGCTTGCTACTCCCTGAGTGGATAATTCTGTTTTTTCCTTCATCCTATCCTGAAGCTCCTGAATGGGAACTTCTAATTCCTTTCTCTTTTCTTCCACCACTTTTCTCAACCTGCTGTCTACTTCTGCTTCCCCCTCAAGGATCCATTCACAATCGTCCCTGAGTAGCTGATTCAACCGGATCAATCTGTCCAYATCAGTTGCTAGCTTGGAGCTGATTACGGTTTCAGAGATTATCTTTCTTTCCAACTTCAAGCTCCAGTGTGCGTCTGAAGGCAACTCATTTTTTCTTAACGAGGTCACAACCAAATTCCTCCATTCCCTGTTTTCTTTTTCTTTTCTCTGCCTCTTTTCCTCTGTCCATCTCCTTGTGCCTCGTTCCTTTGGAGGCTCATTGGAAGTAGGTTCTTCTGCAGTTCGAGAAGGTCCTGCCATTTCATTCTCCTCATTGTCCTTCTCCTTTCCCTTCACCTTCTCGTCTCTCTTTTTCACCTCTCCTGCCTTGTCATTGCCTTCCATTTCCTTACCATCATGTCCCTCCATTTGTGTCTTGTCTTCTTTTATTGACTCATCTTCACCTTGAGCTCTGTCCTCATCATTCCCCTGCTGAGAGGTCGTGATATTTTCCCTATCTTCCTTCTGAGCTCTCCTTTCTATCCTCTCTCCCCTCTTGCCAATATACAATCCCTGCTCCTGAAGTAACTGTTTCTTCTTCTGTCTCTGCACCTCCAAGGGATAGGCCTTTCTCATCTTGACAAGGAAGCTGTCTCTGGTGTCTGACTCCTCTTTGATCCTCTTTACCGCCTCATATTCCCTTGGTGCTATCCTCCTCAACACCTGCTCCATCATCTTTCGTTCACCCCACCTTCTTTTTTCTGAGCATAGGCGGATGCTGTCCTCAAAATCTTCCAAGTTTGTGTCATCGAAAATGATATCATCTTCGATCTCATCCCTTGCCAAGTCCCCATATTTCGCGCACATACCAGCCTTGAAATCCAACCATCCCAGACATTCCAAGGCAATCTCATCTATCACTTCATTGCACTCCCCCAATCCTGCCACCTGTTCGAGCATGGTCCGAGTACTCCATTCTCTTATGAAGGCATTCTCCTCGAATTCCCTCAGGAAGATCCTCAGATTGTCCCCTTCCTTGTAGACAAGCATTTGTTTCGAGTCCTTCGTTACCAGCTGCATCTTTTTTCACCCTTCTCTTCCAGGAATTATCCTGGAAGGACCCACCAACCCTCTCTTCTGTGTCATGGCTGCCTGTTTTCCTGGGTCACGCCTGCACACAGAAAAGAAAAGGGAGTGACAGATAAAGGAAAAAGTCAGCAGCTGGTTAACAACCGACTGTTCGCAAAAGAAATGTCACAGCAAAGGCTCCACAAGATCATCAGGCCTTTCTTTCATCTTTTATGAACTCACATCTTGCCTCATTTTGAACTTCTTCAACCTAGATCCCGAAATTCAGTCTTTCCTTGGTGTTTCATCCATCTCTTCCAGTTCATAAGCTACATAATTCCCTCTGCGTCTGACTCTGAAGGGTCCCAACCATCTCTTGTTCAGCTTCCTCGACCATTGCTTCTTGAGTGAGGAGTCATACAGCAGTACTATCTCTCCAACCTCCAATGGTTCATCCCTAACGCGCGGAGATCTATCCCACCTTTCTTTGTTCATTCCACGACTGTCAGCCACTCTTTCCACTGCTTCCTGTATCCGTTCTTCAGTAATACTGACCTGCCTGACCCTGATGTCAAGCAATTCCTCCAGAGGCATATCATTCTCGAGATCCTGCCTTCGCCACGTCTTTAAGAAACTCTCTATAGGAAATGTGGCATGCCTTCCATACCACAGGGTTGAAGGGGCATAACCTATGGTTCCCTTGACTGTAATGTTCTCGACAAAAAACACCGTTCTTAGGAACTTGGGCCACAGGTTTGGCTTCCCTGCTGTCCACTTCGCCAGTAAATTGGTGATCGTACTATGCCCTCTTTCAACCGGTGCATTCGCTTGCGGATGTGGTCTGGTCGTGTACTTGGCAATAACTCCTAGGTCGTCCAGCAGCTCCTTCACTTCCCCACACGTAATCTCAGACCCCCTATCCATTGTAAACTCCACAACGAAAGGATACCGGAGGTAATATTCTTTGATGCAATCTGTCAAGACTGCTCCTGTCGTGGTTCGGATGACCTTTCCATCAACAAATCCTGTAAGGTTATCTCGCGCATCAAAGATATAGTTATAGCCTCCAAGTCCCAATGACATTGTAAGGAGATCCAGATGGATCACTGACCCCACATCCTTGATATATCTCGGATGTAGGGGTTCCTTKCACCTGATTGGAGATCTGATTTGGCAGGGAACGCACGATTCACAGTACTTTCGGATCATTCCATACATGCCTTCCCAAAAGTACAGTTCGGTCACCTTCTTGATGGTAGTGGCGAAACTTCTGTGACCTCCTACGGGTCCATCATGAAGCGCTGCTATCACATCGATCTGCCGATTCCTGCCACAAATGACCCTCCTAGGACTCTTAGGAGGTCCCCTTTTGTCCTTGATGAAGAGATGGCCTCCCCTCACTAAGTAATGATCTCTCATACGGAAATTTTTCTTATCAACATCTCTTTCACGTTTATCCCCTGAGAGCAAGTGGAACCCATCATATTCTTCTTCCCGGAAATTCTTCGAGATTTCTCCTTGTTCAAACTCTTCTCCTTTCATCTCTTCATCAAATTCGAAATCATCCCATAACACTATCTCGTCTGCCTTTACTACCTCTTCCTTATTGTCAGCCTGTACTTGTAATAGTGAGTTGACGAGGTAGTGTATTCTCCCCATTGTCAGCAGGTGCTGATCTACCTGCTTCGTTCCTGCCTCAATTGTTACTGGATCGTCAGTCAGCCTGTAGGTTTCAGCCAGAGCCAACTCTTTCATCCATTCTCCATTCCTTTCTCCCCATGCGTCTTCTTCAATGAAAGGTTTCAACACCAACCCATCGATCTTTACAAAAGTTGTTAGGGCGTACCACATGGACTTTCCTCTCCTTGCATTCCTATCATTAACACTTAGTCTCCATGAATTCAAATGGAGCTGCATATCATCTCCATCAAGGAATCCATCCACTGGTGGAGTCTCTTCCTTTGCATCCCCAGACTTTTTCCACTCTATCCTGCTTAATCCATCAGCCCTGTTCTTGTTCCCTGAGATATGTTCCAACTGAAAATCGAACATCCAGATATATGTGAGCCATCTGGCGATAGTAGGATCTGTGGGTGCGAAATTCTTGAGGGAATATACAAGGGTTGTTGGATCTATCCTTAGGACAAACCTCCTCCCATAGAGATAGTGCCTAAAGATACGCAGGCAGTGCAGTAATGCTAAGGTTTCCTTTTTGAATCGAGAGTAGTTTCGCTCAGTAGTATTGAGAGTTCAACTTTCAAAACGCAAAGGTCTTTCCTTCCCTTTCAGATCTGCTTGTATTAGGACTCCTCCCAAAGCTGTGGGTCCAGCATCAGTCTCTATGATAAATGGTCGTTCTGTAACGGCTTCATAATCAGGGACCGCCAACACAAGACCTCCTTCTTTAAATTTCTCCTTCAAACTCTTCACCACTTGTTCCTGCTTCTCCCCTCATTCTCATTCCTGGTTCTTTCTAACCAGTTTTCCCACATGTTCAGTCTTTGCAGCAAACTGTTCGATGAAAATTCTCCAGAACCCACACGTCCCAAGAAAACACCTTACTTCGCTAACGTTCCTGAATGGCGTAGGCCATTCAAGGATCTTATTCGTTTTCTTGGTGTCTGGACGACGTCCTTGCTTGTTGCATATAAAACCCAATATAGTAGCCTCACTCATGCAATGCCTAGACTTAGCTCCGCTAGCCGTAAAAGATTATATTGTTGTAATAAATCGAGTACCTTCCTGAGATCATTGACATTATCCTAAACAAACTTCCTTATGTCAGGTGCAACCTCTTGCTCATCTTTCACCATAGGGCCTTTCACCGCTAGATCATCGATGTATGGTTCAGTAATCTGCGGACTGATTGGCTACATGACTCTCACCATACTCCTTTGTACCATGGCTACTGCGTTCGTCCATCCTTGGGGTGCCACGTTCATGTGAATTAGTCCTCTCGAAGTGTGCATTGCCGTGATCGGCCTATCTGCCGGATACACTGGGAATTTGTCATAACCGGAGTACAGATCTATGAGCGAGATAATGGACCTTCCAGCACAGGCTTCAGAGAGTTGGTCAGCGTTAGGGAGCCCTCCAGCATCCCTAACCGTTACCGCGTTCAACCTTTGCAAATCTTGCACCCACCTGAGTACTTCATTTGGCTTGATGAAGCAAAACCATGGTAAGGCATAAGGTCCGCTGGAGAATCCTGCTACGTGAGAACCAATCTTCCCGTCAAGGTATTCTACCACCCTTCTCTGATCATCGAGATTTGAATACCTGGTTCCCCTAACATTCCAAGGTTGATGTGGGACTGTGTGAATTCGGATTATCCCTATCTTGTCCACATCTAACCTTCCCCTCTGCTCATCGTTGAAAGCATAGACGCTGTGTTTTTCCTTCATTAAGTCGACTACTAACGCCTTCTCTTGCTTGGTTAAGAATTCAGGTTCACCAATGATCAGGTCTTTCTCAGTTTCTTCGTTAATACGACAGGATTCGGCTTCCCATTTCTCTCTCATTTGCCTAATCAATTCTCGTTCTTGCTCATAGTACACTCCCTCCTCATATGTCACTAAGACCGGAACAGGGTGGCTTTTTTTGTCTACCGTCTTGTACCTCCTCTTTCCCCCTTGCTTGAGCCCACCCCTAAAAAATGCTGGTCGCATGCTTGAGCATAGGGTCCTTGCACTTTCTCTTCCCCAGGGGGTGGCATGTATACCAGCTCCATCCTCCCCCCTACAGGGAAATCATACAACTTATCAGCCAATGCTCGAATGGCTTCTGGTTCCGCCATATCGTATGCGGATACCATATACATGGCTTGGTCCATGTTGGTCAGGCTTAAGGCTAATCCTCCACTCTCTTCCTCTTCCTCATCCTCATCAAGCCCCCACTCTAATTCTCTTCTTCTATTCTCAGATTCCTCGAAGGTATATGACCCAGCATTGARTCGGTTCTTCGAGCTATGAGGGCCTATATTCTGACAGGTAATGACCTCGAAATTACCATGAGCGGGGTCACATAAAATTACGTACATGGTCCCRTCATGCTTGTTCATGATAAGGGACTCTGTTCGCGATAAGAAGGACCTTCYCAGTAATATAGGAAGATCCAAGGTAGGCATTATGTAAAAGCAGGATCGGACCCTGACGCTTCCTATTTCCACAACTACATTTGAGGCAATCCCTACGTAACCTGATTTTCCACAAACCCCATTGAGGTAACCTGAGTCCCTCCTATCGATCTCCAACCCTAGCATCTCAGCTGTCTCAAGATTCATAATATTCATCTCTGCTCCCATGTCCAACATCCCAGGGCATCCCGTCCCTCTGATATTGGCATCTATGGACCCTATCCCCACAGATTTTCAATCCATCTTACTCCCTGCCACAGTCCAGTTGACTTCCTTGGGGATCAGGTCGCCCATCCTTACCGTCGCTACTCTCTTTCTTGCCAGTTTAGCTTTTACCAGTTCCCTGAGCTTAGGTGCAGTTGCCAAAATCTCTTTTAAATTTAACAACTCATTATGTCCCTCAAGAAGCTTATTTACCAGATTCTCCAGATCAACGCCTTCTTCAATCGACGTCTGGTACTTCCATTTCTTCTTCGACTTCTCCCCAACTTTTTCCTTTCCTTCCTTACCATCAATCTTCCGCCTTTTAACCTTCAGCTCAGCTTGTTTGTTCTCGTCCTCCTTAGGCAACTCATCATGTTCCTCCTCTTCTTCTTCCTCTATTTCAATAGAGGCTACCCCTTGAGGTGGTACAGGAGCCTGCGTTGGTTCCTTGGGCGCGCTTCCTCCTTTAGGTCTTCGTGCAGTATGAGGAATAAAGTTCCTCAGTGCTTGGTAAGTAGCTTCCGAACCAGCCGCCAGAATAGCTTTTAATGCTCTGGGGTTAAGAGCTCTAGGCTCATCATTTTCTCCTTCTCGACCCATTGTGAATACGTGCGGCACCCTCATTTCCAAGTTCCTTACCTCTTCGCAGATGTCATACATTTTCACATTTAACCTTCCCATCTTATCTATCATGTCTTCCATTCTTCCCAGGGTTTCCCTTGCTGACTCTCTAACTACAATATCTTCGTCTGGCTCAATTTTGACTAGTGGCGTATTCTCTTCTTCGTGGCTAATCCTCGCTCCTTTCTTCAACTGGTCACTTAGTTCATCAACTTCCTCCACCCAGATAAAAGGGTCTTCCTTCTCCTGCCATATACGAAACATGGCAGGGGCGCTGGGTCCAAGCCCTGCGACTCTAATGGCTTCTTTTCTCATGCCCCCAGGGATGTTTGGATCGATCTTATCTCCTCTCTTATCGACCACATCACCGTCGATACTTGATGTGATCAAGCCATCTTGCTCATCCATCCTCCTAACATGACATCTCCTTATTGTATGTCCTTTTATCGTACAGTGCGTACATACGCACTCGCTGTAGTCTATCCATCCTCTTCCGACCCCTTGACCATTCCATTGTCCGTCACTCCTTCCAAACCCTCTACCGTAATTCTGGTTATAGCCTTGACCGTAACCTTGACCATAACCTTGGTTGTAACCTTGTCCAATTTGATTAAAGTTTGACTGATTGAAATTCCCAGCCTGATTTCCTCCTTGATTTTCCCAATTCCCACCTTGTCCAACGTTTCCTCTTCCTCCAAATCCTCTTCCTCCATTGTCATTTTCTCTTCCTCCATTTCTCCCTTTACCGTGTCGTTGACGGTGTCCCTGTCCTTGAAATTGACCTTGGTTACTTTGTGGCGGCAGAACCTGTTGTGGCGATCCTCCGTTTGCTCCTTGCCCCTGGGATGGTCCCACCCCAGCTCCTTGAACCTGGGGTAAGTTTGGATTCATCCCAATTTGTCCAAAACCCGACCATTGATTCCCGGGGTAATATCCCGGCCATGCCCCCATAGGAGTCACCACTGGCCATGGTCCAAATGGAGGAACCGGGGCTGATGTTCCTGCGACATTTGTTCCCCCAGTCTGTTGTGAACTTTGTCCCTTTCCTGTCCCCTGTTTCTTTGGTGTCTGGTTCTGGTTCTGCTTTTGGGTCTTCTTGCCTTGCGTTACCGTTTCAGTTTTCGCTTCCCCCTTACTTGCATTACTCTCCTCCTCATGTCTTCTCTTATTCGTTACCTGTTCAACTGCCATCACTTTTCTTGACTTCACTTTGTCCTTCAACTCCTTTAGTTGAGTGACCATACTACTCAACACTTCCCCTAAGGCTGAATCAGCACCTTGGACGATTCTTATTCCCTTTCTTCTCTTCCTCTCCATCCTTTTATTAGTTAAGTAGATTGCTAGGTGACCCATGTTGAGCCGTCTCAACACTTGACCCTATATTCAGAGAACATTCTAGATCCAGGTGTTAGTACATAGTTCAAGTTGATAATAGGTGACTTTCCCGGAAGCCTCCTATTTCTGCTTGATCAGAACTCAGTCTATTTTTACAAGTGTAATAGGATGACCCTACGGGAGTCACCCTACTACTTACTTAGAGTCAGACGAGCCAGGATTAAGTCAGTGGACTTAGACAAGCCGAAGTGCCTTATTTGGTACGTTTAGAATGTAGCCAAGCAGGCTATAAGATGACTCTACGGGAGCCTCCTATATCCGGATTGAAAGTTTTCAGATTGAATGTTAATACTTATTTATACCGTTTGTCATTCATACCTAGACAAATAGTAGGGTTACTCACCCGGTAGTATTCCTCTACTGTCTAAACACAATCATCATTTTTTCACTAGTAAACCTCTGAATCAAACAAGTATTAGGATAACCCTCCCGGGAGTTACCATACTACCAGTTCGATGAGTACGAGATCAGTAAAAATAACTCCAAGTTAAATAGCCTTGACTGTTCCCCTACTTTGCCTACTCGTCGCGAACGAGCAAGCGGTATGCCGACTTTCACGGAAGTCGACCACATTGACCTAGACTTAGGAGTTCGTATACTCACCCGGGAGTACTTAATTCCCTTCCTAAGTCTAGTCAAATCAAGTGAGAGGAGAACTCCACGGGAGCTCCTCGTAACCCGATCCAATGTTAAATAGCTAGGCCATTAGTATCCAAGTAATGCCAATCCATTAGTCCTACCAAGACAAGTAGCAGGGTACTCACCCGGGAGTATCCCTTTTACTTGTCCAAGCACAATCAACTCATTCTTCCCTTGTTAGTTGTTCCCCTGATCAAACGAAGTATTATCATAACCCTCCCGGGAGCCACCCTAATACCAGTTTGATGTGTAGGAGATCAAGACCACTTTTAGGTTAGTCGCCCTGATCGTTCATTTATTCGTTTATGTATTAAATTGAACAAAAAATATTGTTGACTTACACGGAACTCGCACAAATCGACAAATTCTCATCCCAAGTCTAGTCAGACTAGTGATAGGAGAACCTCACGGGAGCCTCCCATTACCCCTGCTCTTGTTAGTTGTTTGAAAACGTGTACCCCACGGGAGTACCGGATTAGTCATGCTTTGATTAATCACTTGAAGATATGTACTCCACGGGAGTACCGGATTAGCCTTGGATTTAGCTGGTGAGTCAAGAGAGAAGATGCACGGCATCTTCCTGTTTCCAATGTATGCATGTCAAAAGTTAACTAGTTAGGTGGATGGCTGGGTAGTTCGCACGATGAGTACCCTTTTAGTCATTCCATGCAGGCAGTTTGACGACCCCAATGGAGGCCTCCATCATAATGCCTTTGTTTTTCTCAAGACCATGCAGGCTAAGTTCCTTCTCGGTTCTTTTCTGGGTTCCTTTTATAACACCAGGCACGTTATGATTTCAATCATATAACCCTTTTGCTTTTACTGCTTTAGTCCTGAAGAAAACCATAAACAATATATCGTACAATCATACAAGCTGACAATAGAAGGGCGTAGCTTTTAAGGGTATACGGGAAAAAAATATGTGACGCGTACCTTAAGGTTTCCTGCCTCCAGAGTTCCTCCTTAACTTCGGCAGAGCTCCTGCAATCGCCCTGTTGTCTGTTTGTCTAAGTATCATTTTTCATAGAATAAAACTTCATATTTAGGTAATTGTGAAATCAAAAAGGAAGTAAGGGGATTAGTTCACAGGAGAATGGGGAAGGATGGAGGAGACAGGCACCATCACATGGTGACGACGTCTCTCCCTCTATAATGCCCCATACTTCTCAAATATGATCCTCCCTATTTCTTTTGATATTAATCAGTCATTCAAGGACCCACAAAATGATGCTTAAGAACGAAACGATCATAATAATAACTTCAGAAAAATACAGAGAAGAGAAAATCGAAGAGACGAGGTCAAAGGAAAGGGGAGAAGAGTGGAGGAGGCAGGTACCACCACATGGTAACGATGTTCCTTCCTTTTTAGCATCCTGCACCTTCTTCTTCCCTGTCTCATGATGTTCAATATCAGGAATAATCCCAACTTAATATTGAGTAGAATAATAATAACAATAATAATAGTAATAACAATAAACAATGATAATAACAATAATCATCGTACGGAATATGATTGTGAATGTCATATAGAAACTCAAGCTGCGAATCCAGCGGCTGCTTGAGCTTAACCATGCATGAGTATAAAGTACAAGTGCATCGAGTATCCATCAAATAGAGCAATACAATAGTAATGAGCCAATGTCCAAGCCGCATGCCACACCCATACAATATCCAGAGTCGCTTTCTCTGTCCGGCGCCCAGTGCCCAGCCTACTCTACCATACTATCCCATGCTACAGTTGTTTTCCATCAACAGGATCACTTTAAATCATATAGACCCAAGTGCATGACCGCCCACACCACCGGTGACCTCTCTTCCATGTTCCAGGTATGTATATCGTTACCCTCAGTCAGACTTTGATTATCCCAACATAACACATTACTTTTGAAGATCTCCCACTCATCCGCTGTACCCCTTGGCGCCCAGCAACCTGGCTATGGTCACCTACGCCCCGTTGTCCCATCTAGCGTGTAGGTGCCCAGGCACAATCTTTCGCGGCCTGGGTCAACCGTTCAGCGCAGCTTGGCGGGGTCTGAGCATTTGCCCAACCAGCTGATATGCATAAGGAGCCTGAATACCTACATACGGAAATGTCGAATTGGGCCTGCGATGAATATTCAGGCCCGCCTTCACTTAGGACGGTCGTTTCGCTTGCTGGGTCATAGCATAGAACAACGTGATGTCTGATAGGACCAACTGAGGGCTCGTTCTTCTCAATAATAATAATAATAATAATAATAGTAATAATAATAATAATAATAATAATAATAATAATAATAATAATAATAATAAAAAAAAAAAATAATAATAATAATAATAAAAAATCAACAATAATAATAATAATAATAATAATAATATTAATAATAATAACAATAATAATAATAGTAATAATAATGCAAGAACTGTGAGTACTAACGAACTTCAGCAATCAAACATCATCATGCATATGAGACCAAAAAGTCTCGACCTCGAACCAATGACGAGAAACACCAAGTAGGAATCATGCCATACTGGTCCCATCATCACCATCAACGACGAACCAGAGTAGATATTCTATCTGGCGATTAGCGCCCAGACTACGTGTGGWAGATCCTGACTAGCCTGTACTGTGGAGCAGAAAGAMAAKGTCAACARYATTCCCGGAGCACRWGCATATGGCGRCCACTGYTGYATGCTTCCAGCACCAGGTATGTCACGCACTGCACCCACAACCTCGTTTCTAACTCACTGCTGCCATTAGTATCCCAAAAGATCACCTTGTGTCCCTACCCAGTTACAGGCTGGTNTGTCACGCACTGCACCCACAACCTCGTTTCTAACTCACTGCTGCCATTAGTATCCCAAAAGATCACCTTGTGTCCCTACCCAGTTACAGGCTGGTACGACCTGCTATGTTTCCCCACTGTCTCTCTGCCTCCAGCCTGTGTTTGGTCTTCGTCTATGCATGGCTTCGTCCGTCTGTCTACTGTTTTCGTGACCGGCTAACTACTTTATGTCTATCTGTCGATCTGTGTCTTGTTTTGTCCGTAGATCTGTGTGACGTTTCTCTCATTTTGTTCGTTTGTGAGTTTGTCTGTATCCTGTATGTTCGTTATACCCGGCCACCTGTTTGCTTTTCTGCGGCTGAATGTTTGCAACTCTGTGTTTTTCTGCCTGCTCACTCTGTCTATGTATATCTGTTTTGTTGGTCTGTTTGTTCTTGCATCTCATCTCCTCTCACACACACATACGTGCACTCCCACTGGCGAGATGTTCAGTTCTTATCCACTAGTCAAGCGAGCCCAGGCCGATCGTCTGTCTGTATCCTGCCTCACAAAACTCTTCGTATGGCGTGGTCCTCTGGGTTTGAGTCAATAATAATAATAATAATAATAATAATAATAATAATAATAATAATAATAATAATAATATGCGAGGAACATGAATATGGACAAAGCACAGAAATCCAAATTGCAAATTCATATTGAAGTTCAAGTAGTAAAAGCCAGAATAGATAACATATGGAACCGAGTAACCATCCAAATGAGATTGATATAGCGGAATCATGGGTCAATGTCCATGCTCAATCGGGCAACACCAACGACATAACCCAGTGTAGCTTTCTCTCTCCTGAACGGCGCCTGACGCCCTATCTACACTACGGCCTAATCTATAACTTCAGCATGGAAGCAACCAGACAACTTGACGATCATCGAGTAATGACTTCAATCACCAATGTCGACCTCCTCTTCCACCCAGGTATGTCACTCTCTCCACCCACACTCTCCCTGGACAACCCACAGCTTCCTTCACCTCCGAAGAACCACCTTCGCCCTTCACCTCTACTGCGTCTGCCAGCAGCCTGGCTATGACCGCCAGCTCTCAGATTACATGTGGCAGATCCTATATATCCTACATTACAATGCTGCAGGGGCCGTCAACAGCTCCCCGAAGTACGAACAGGTCTGAGCCAATGCCATTCGCCACGAGTATCAGGTAAGTGCCCTCTCATCACTCACAATTCTTTGTCCTCCGTCCATAGCTGCCACTGGTACCCAAGAACTACCCTGTGCCACTTCCCAACTACAGACAGGCAAGCCTGGCTATGGTTGCCTGTTGTCTGATGTTTCGTCAATCCAATTGTGTCCGTCGGATCTTTCGGACCAACTGTTCGCCTGTGTAAATGTCTTCGCCCGTCCTTCTCTATCATGTACGGCAACTGGTGTCTGTAAAAATGAGTTTGTGTCTGTTTGATTGCGTCGTATCTGTCTGTTCGAGCCTCCCTTTAGTGTGCTCTAGTCATTAGGTCTGTCTGTGTTTCATTCTTGTTTGC